CACTGGAGGAGTAACAACAACTATTTCCATGTCACTGCTCATAGTAAGAGAAGGTACCTGCAGTCTATTCAGAGTGCACAGCTCTAACCCTGCAGCAGGACTGTCATGTGATGAGGAGCGCTGCCAGAGCTCATATACTCATCATGTTCCAGGCAGAGGATGTCTTTGGTTTCCTCTGATTCCATTTCCATCGTTACATCTTATTTTTCCACAATAAACTGCATGATGTACTTTACCAGTTCAGATTCTCAAGTTAAAAATCTCATTCATTGAGATCTGATGTGTGACTCAAGTGTTCCCTTTATTTTTTGAGCAGTGTAGTTTGGCAGTGGTCACGTTTCAAAGTCGTTCTATGTTTAGGGTTAAGTGAACTTCTCAGCTGTATATTTCTATTATTGTTTCCCAGACTTCAGCCTCGCTGCACGTGGACTTCCAAGTTGGCAACAGTAGCAACAGTAGCATCTATGACTGCAACCCTGTCTCTACTGCGGTAAATAAAGGTTCACTGCACTGATGCGGTAAAACGTTTGTTCTGGGTGTTTAGTGTCGAGACAAATGTTATAAACTTTTGACTGGTTCACAGTTTGTGCTCTCGTTTAGAAGCGGTGACTTCCTTTTAAACGTTTATTTTAAAAAAGACAAACGTCACATGATTAATGAGGTACTGAAACTAGTATAACACTTAACCAAAGAAGGATAACAGCAGGAAAGCTTCCTACACTAATAAGGCTAATGTGTACATATTAACAGAAGCATATTCAATCAGTAAATACAGTCTGATATCTGGTATAATAACAGATATACTGTAGATTGTATCTTAGATAGTAAGTTAGGAAACATGTTCATGTTTGTAGTCAAAAGTATTTAGAGGATTATAAATATTTCAGGTTCCTGGAGGTTATGAAAAACTCATAAAATGTTATTATCATTATAGAGACATTACTTAGCACATACATTTATGTATTATATAATTTAGTTGTCGTGGCCATTACATTATGGTGGACCAGCCAAACAGCATCGCTCTAGTAGCACACTCCACATAAATAATGCCTTCTGTTTGTTGGTACATTTGAAAGTGTGGAGAAGAAAAAGGTCTAACATGTGTTCTTAGTTTAATCCACAAAACCCAAAAATAAAAGCTGAGTTTTATTTCTGGTTGTTTCCCAGCTTCATTAAAACTATTGACAGATGTATGAGGCAGCAGTGGTGAGGTGTGTGGTAGGGCACGATCTGATATCCTCGTGTTGGTGTTGTTCCCAGATCATCATA